CAGGATGAGACACAGCTGTATGGGGAAGATGAGTCAGACTCTGACTCACAGCTGGAAGTCATTAAAGACACACATAAACAAAGGCAGTTAACTAGAGCAGGACAGAGGGAGGCCATGGGGCGACTCCAAGGACGGAGGAGAAGGCATTGAGAAGCCACACCTTGGGGCTGCTTAATAAAAAGGGAAGGTCTGGGCGGTGATGGTTGCTGAAGGCAACCGTTGCAAAGTACACCATGGGTTCATGTTCTGCTGGCGTTGCCGGTGACTAACTCCTTGTTTTGCATTGTGTTTCGTGTGGACAATTTCCTCCATTTGGATTGTGTTTTGTTGCTTTTGTTTTTGGACCATTTGGCAGGTTTTTTACCAATATTCAAAAGGGGTTTTTGTTTTCTTCCGAGTCTCCAGCCTATTTTTCAAAAGGGGTTTTGTCCCTGTGCATTTAACAAGGATGGCTATAGGCTGGGACAGAACAGGTTCATGGTGGCCAGATGGGCCTGCAGCTGGCAGCTGAGGGAGCGGGCAAGGGCAGGCGGGGAGGGGAGGGAGGGGGGATGTGGGGTCTTTAGCCAGCTCTGGGAAAGGGGGGGCGGTGAGGGGGGGGGCGTGGCTTACCCGGTGTTTGCAGCCGGCCTCCTTGAAGGGGCAGAGAGCCAGGGCGGTGGAGCAGCTGTCCTTCAGGTGCCCGCTCAGGTCCTCCCGGGCGATGTTGGGGGCCCCGCACTGATTCGGACAGGGCACAGGGTAGCGGGGGCACTGGTACTCGTGGTTCTGGAGAGGGAGGAAAAGGCACAGCGCGGCATCTGCCAAATTACAGGTAGTCCTCTCGGATTACAACCACTCATTTAGTGATGGTTTGAAGTGACAGTGGCACTGCCAGAAAGGGACTTCGGCCATTTTTCACACGTCTGACTGTTGCGGCACCCGTGTGGCCATGTGGCAAAAAGGGCAACTGGCATGGGCCTTTCTTCTGTGGTTTGGAGGTAGACTGCCCTTCCGCAGTGAAGCTCTACTCTGTGACTGCTGCTCAGAAATTGCTACACACACACACACATACACCGAGTATTTGGGGGGAACCCCTTGAAGTCTCAAAGGCCAAGTGGGGATGCAACAGAAGACCCAGCCAGCTCCCCCCCCACCCTCCGTGGCTGCTTGGGGGGAGCCTTATGCAGCAGGATGCAAAGGGACCCTCTCACTCTCTGAGCCCCCCAAATCCCCCCCACAGACATACCCCCCCAATCTTTTCTGTAGCCAGGTTCCTTGGGCTACAAAGGCTCCGCAGTCGGGATGGGGACATTCCCAGAGCCCACCCGTGTGGGGTCTCAGTGTGTCACGTGCAGCCCCCCTTAGCCAAGCAGGGGGTGTCCCTCCCCAGCTGGCTCCCGTCCCCTGAGAGGCCAGTGTGCCCTTCGGGGCCCCCCGTGACCCACCTGGATGGTGTCGTAGAGGAACTCCTTGGCGCAGTAGCTGCAGGGCTGGGTGCGCTTCGGACACTCGGCCAGCATGTGCTGCGACAGCAGCCGGCGCATCATGCGCGCCCCACACTTGTTCTCGCAGTAGACGCTCTCCTGGGGGCAGACCCCCTGGTGGTTCTGGAAAGGGAGGGGAGGGGGGAAGAAATTGGAGAAAGGGCAGAGTGAGCCAGGGGTTCCTGCTCCACAGATCTTCCAAGCCAGGACTTTGGAGGAAAAGCAGGAGGATGGGAGGCCACCAGGAAATGCCCAGGTGGATGGAGAAAGTGGGAGGTGGGAAGTCTCCGTGGGGCAGACGGGGCCAATTGCTTTTTATGCTTTGTTTTGTTTTATTTTATTTTATTTTATTTTATTTTATTTTATTTTATTTTATTATTTTATTTTATTTTATTTTATTTTATTATTTTATTTTATCTTATTTTATTTATCTTATTTTATTTATTTTATTTATTTATTTTTATTTTATTATTTATTTATATTTATTTTATTTTATTTTATTATTTTATTTTATCTTATTTTATTTATCTTATTTTATTTATTTTATTTATTTATTTTTATTTTATTATTTATTTATATTTATTTTATTATATTTTATTATATTATTTTATTTTATTATTTATTTCTTTTATTTTATTATTTATTTCATTTATTTTATTTTATTTTATTATTTTATTATTATTTTATTTTATTTTTTATTTTATTTTTTATTTTAATTATTTTACTTTACTTTTTACTTTACTTTTTACTTTACTTTACTTTAATTATTTTTTTCAATTTCTACAACCGCCCCTCTCAGTCAGTGACTCTGGGCAGCTTACAATTCAGAAAATACAACTACAGGCAGTCCTTGACTTACGACTGTTCATTTAGTGACCGTTCACAGTTACCAACAGCCCTGCAAACAGGGATGTTCCCCACTTACGATCCTGATCAAAATTCAGGCCACTGACTCACATGCATGACGGGGCTGTCACGTGACCCCCCCCGAGAGAGAGAGGGAGGGAGAGGGAGAGGGAGGGAGAGAGACACAGCTGCCCCCTTAGAAGCCCCTCCCCAGCAGCCACGGGCACGTGCCCCCCCCCAGCCAGTGTGCACAGGAGGGGAGGACATCCAGGGCAGCCGGCCTGGCCCCTCCTGCACAAAGGCTGCGATTGTGGCTCACACCCTCCCCAACACACCCGCAGGCCAGGCAGGGCCGCAACAACTGGAGGGTTGTTTATTTAAGCCCCCCCAAAAAAACTGACGGCAGCCGGACCTCCACCGAAGCTCCTCCTGGTCCCCCCCTCCTCAGTTGCCCCCCACTCACCTCAAAGGCTTCCCCCGTGAAGTCGGCTCGGCAGAATTCGCACTGGAGGTGCCTCTGGGGACAGTCGTGCTGCAGGTGGGGGGGCAGGTCGCGGCGGCTCAGCTTGGCCCCACAGCGGTTGGGGCAGGGCACCACGTTGAAGCTGCAGGTGCCCAGGTGGGCCTGGACCAGGGGGGGAGGAGGGGGTCACTCCGAGGCGGGAGGAGGGCCGGCCGGGACCCCCCCTTCCCTTCGCCCCCAACCCCCCCCCAGAGCAAGAGGAGGAGGGGCAGCGGGCAGCTCACCTGCAAATGACGGATGGTCCCAGTCCAGCGACAGCCCTCCTCACTGTGGATGCACCTGATGCTCAGGCCCAACACCTGGGCCTCCAGTTCGGGGTCCGGGTAAATCTGGAGGGCGAAGGGGGGCTCTCAGGGGGGTCTCAGGTGGGGCTGGCTCCTTCCTTCGTTCCTTCCTTCCTTTTTCTTTCTTTCCATCCTTCCTTCCTTCCTTCCATCCTCCCTCCTTCCATCCCTTTTCTCTCTTTATCCTCCCCCTCTCTTTCTGTTTGTCCTTCCTTCCTTCCTTCCTTCCTTTCTTTTTCTTTCTTTCCATTCTTCCTTCCTTCCTGTTCTCTCTTTATCCTCCCTCCCTTCCTCTCTTTCTGTCCTTCCTTCCTTCCTTCCTTCCTTCCTTCCTTTTTCTTTCTTTCCATCCTTCCTTCCTGTTCTCTCTTTATCCTCTCTCCCTCTCTGTCTTTCTGTTTGTCCTTCCTTCCTTCCTTCCTTCCTTTCTTTTTCTTTCTTTCCATCCTTCCTTCCTTCCTTCCATCCTCCTTCCTTCCCTCCCTTTTCTCTCTTTATCCTCCCCCTCT